AGAGGAGCAGTGTATTTACACAGACAAAAAAGCCATTAGGATGTCTCAACAAAAAGGACAAAAAACAGGCTTGCTCTTGAAACTCACTGTCTTTTAGAAAGAAAAATTACACTCTCAACACACAGTGAGTCCAAGAAAGGAGCGAACTGGGAATTGGAAGTTTATTGTGACTCTGCCTAAGATTCCAGCAGCTAAGGCTACTTTCAAGAATTAGTAGCCTGTATACCTACAGGAAGATTACAGGTGGAGTTTCAGAAACTTGCTTGCGTTAAACCCTTCTCCTGATAGACCAGGGAGTGCAGTATCCTCCCACCCACAGAGCAGACAGCCATCTATGCAGGGGCCTGGTTGATCTCCAGAAGGCCAGGAGAAGTCTGACACAGTAGGTCACCTGGGACAACAGCCAAAAAGTGGGGGAGAGGTGTTAAAATCCATATTTGGCTTGAGTCTGACGTCGGCTGAGCTTGTTTTCGGACCATGTGTTTTTCAGTTCCAGTTCTCTTTCCTTTGCCTGTAGGAATTGAGAGGATTAAAATCAAAACTGCTACTCACCGATTCAGCAGTATTTTACCCTTCTCCGCCCCTGCTGACAGGGATTACAGAGCACTTCAGCAAGGGGCCTTGTTACAGGAGTTAGTACAATTATCTTGACAGAGGTCTGAATTAATGGGGATGCACAGGCATTTCATTCACACTGAAATGTAGCTTTTGTGGGACAGTCTCAGCAGCTGCTTACCAACCAACCAACCCAGCACTGGTACAGAATTTAAGACAGGAAGCAAGAGTCTTGTAACCAAATAAAACTATGCATGCACTGGAGCTGCGCGGGAGGGGAAGGGAGAGAGAAGCAAAGTAACCCACAGCTAGGAGCTCTATCCATGAGCAGAGCCATAAAATCCTTGGAGTCAAGGCCCTGACGCTGTTTGGGTCGGCAGCGCCCAGGACCCTCGGCCAGCGCTGAGGCAGGAGCTGCGTTCTGGCTCCACCTGCCAGAACAAGAGCTTGGCTCCTGCGGACACCGCTGCCTCCCAGCTCCCCATCAGACCTGCTGCACATCTCATCCAGAGCTCTTAATCAAGGACTAATTACTGCTAGATGTGCAAAGCCTCTGGTTCCCAGCTGCAGAAAAAGCAGCTCCACCAGCTCTGCTTCATGCTGTTAAGTGTCAACCCTTGTAACTCTGTCCGGAACTGTCTGTGCTAGAGGGAGACTGCTCACCTGATGAATCAGGTACGTGATCTGGTGTTTTCTTCTTTGCTGTCCTGTGGGTTGATCTCCTTTTTTCTAAAAAGCAAAGTCAGAGTAAATGTTCAGCCTGGAAAGACACTGTCCCAGGCAGTGAAACAAGACAAGAGCCTGCACAAAGCCAGTCAAGAAGCCCAATATCTTTGTTTCGCATCAACGGTTTTGGGCAGATTCCTTAGGCTAAAGCAGTTTCCGGTCAGTCTTTACCACCTGTACACGGAGACTTTGTTTTGAGAAGCCCTACTGGTCTCCTGTATGCAATTATTTATACAATACACAACATGAAGGTCCTTGTTCCCCCAGACTGCATAGTGTCTAATACAGCTTCAGCCGCGACTGAGCTAGGAACCGAACACGGGTCTCCTAAATTCCAGTCAGCATTTCTCCCTTCCTGCCCATACCTTGCTGAACGATTTCATGGTTTTCTCCTCTGTTAACGATTTTGTCAACCACTGCTGGGCTCCACTCAGCTGATCATCACCTTTGATGTCCACAAAGTTGATCTCTTCTCTCCCTCGATTCCGCTTGCCTTGCAGACGTTTAAACTGAAAGAACAGAAACAGCAGGAGTTACGCATACATCGGACAGTGCTACTAACCTGAAACAAGCAGGGGGAGATGGGGTTCTGATCCATAAGCTCCCCAAGCACAGGACAGGGCACACCACCACACATCTTCCCAACCAGGAATCCTTTCTTTAAGCGAATTCTGCTTTCTACAGATCAAAGCATCTCACTGAATATTAAGCTTATAACCTTGTTTTCCAATGCAGAAAGGAAAACACCATTTATTCTGGCATTGTCTCTTGCTTAGAGAAAGATCAAAGGAGCTCGGGTTCTCTCACTTTAAGTGCCGTGGAAGCACCCGCAATTTAGCTGCCAAGATATCCACTTTGCATAACTCAAATCCACCTCAGAAGCACAGAGGCCACTCAGAGGAAGTGAGCTCCAGAGGGGCTATTGCCTGCTGTAGCACTGCCCGATTCAGCTAGCAAAGGTGGCCGTTTCTAGACTGCATCAACAATGGGTCAATAGGTTTTTGAGCTACAGTTCCTGAGCATTTCAAATGAGTGGGGAGCTCACCACTGTGCTAAAGGATATAGCACCAAGGTATCTGAATGGCAGCTCACCGGCATCTCAGCAAGCAAGCAACTGCACAGACCTTATCACTCCATACACCTTAACTGCCCTACAACCCCCTAATGAGAACAAGACTGGGGTAGGTGGAAATAACAAACATCACCTATTTATAAAACAAGCATATCCATCTGGAGCAGTAGCCCAACAGATTGCTGGAAGGACACTGCACGTGTCCACAACACAGCGCTAGACCCAATGGAACAACAATCTGGTCGAACTCGGCATGAAGCACAGGTCATGCTGGAGGGTCAGGATTGTAGCTGCCAAGCAGATCCTATGTTCTAGCAGCGCTTAAATGCAAACTCCATAGTGGGATAGATAGTAAAGTGCCAACCGCTTCATCATCTATGAAGGAGGAGTCAGTGCCCATGTCCTGTGGTGGTCCCTGGGCTGGTTCCATCTCCTGGTAGTATCCACTGCTGTAGTAATCCTGTCAGCAAACAAAAGAAAAAACAGGTCATCACCGCAGTGAAGCGAGATTGATCCTGCAACAGCTACGCACACAGACCTTAAGATGCACCACTGAATCTCATACCTCACCCTGCGGAGCTTCTGGTTTTTCACCCTAGGATTTCACTCAACCTCTGGAGACTGCAGTAAGTTACACACGTGCCTCCTTCCAAGGCTAACAGAATCCTCATTACTTTGGCACTGATTGAAGAGTACAGTGCATTTTTTCCAGAGGTACTCAATAACAAATACTTTGCTGGATTACTAGAAACAACCCAGCTTCAGAGATCAGTTCTGGCAAGCCCTGATTCTGCACCCTGAGAACAGCAGGGGCAGTTCTGCAGGGGCATTTTAAAATGAGAGAAGCTATTAAACATTTATCCAGCAAAAAGCATCTATGGCTCCCATCCCAGAGGAATCCTGTTGCACTAAGTGCTGCGCATCTATACTTCTTGTCCCAGCTAGCTCAGGTTAGATTTCCTAAAGCCATAGCCTGCTCCAGTAACTAACTCAAAGCCACTGGTCCAAGATCACGTGTTGGAATAACCCCATCAAGCTTTACCTCCTAGAAAATTAACCTCATACCCACCTGATAATATGCACCAGTCACGTTAGCATCGCTGTAAGCAGGGAACTGGTTATAGGGCTGACTGCCATAGTCTTCTCCAGACTTGGGTGCCCAGCTGTGCTGAGCACCACTGGAACCCGCACCCGTCTTGAACTCCAGAGGGGCGTTAGCAGCAGCATCCTGGAACTGAGGCTCTGGCTCGGTCCCAGGCGGCGGGTCCTCTGACACCACTGTGCCAGAATACATATATGTCTCAGCACTGACAACGCTGGGCTCGCTCTTGTCAGACAAGGAGAAGTAGTTCTCTGGCTCTACCTCTTCATCGCTGTCGTCCTCTTCCTGCGTGATCTGCTTGGTTACCTGGAGGGCAGCGCTCTTCGCAGCAGCTTTGATAGCAGACGGGGAAGGAGTTGTGGCCACTGCTGGCTTGGACAGAGGTTTTGTCTTTGAGGAAGAGGTTGGGGCCTTAGCTGGCTTTGACTCAGGGGCATTTTCTGCTGCTTTCCTCGAGAAAGCGTAGGGCAAAAGTAACCGATTGGTCTCTTTCACTGTCAAGTTTTTGGGTTGAGGAAGCAAAGCAGACAAGCCAGAGCCCTCGCCGCGTCCCTGGTGAGTTTCATGCAGGGTAGACGGTTCACAGAAACAGGAGAAATGAGTGAGACTATTTAGTTTTCCTGACTCCCTGCCAATTATCTCCTCCAACTCTTCTTCTAACAATGTTGATGGGCTTCCCACTGCTTAGCATAACCGTTTGCTGTTTTGAACATGCTGCAGGGCTTTCCTGCCCAAAAGGCCAGTGGGACTTTTAAGGGAAACATCGTACTTGCAAATATGAGTCTACATTTCCCAAATTAATGCATATCTTTCTGAGATTTATACTTAAGACATTTCCCAAGAAAGGGATGTGATGCCCCAAGGGATTTCCAGGATATTATTCCCTAAAAGGCACACGCTGATCAGGGCGTCTGACTGATGCTAATGGAAACCCAAGATCTATCACAGCCAAATGCTTACTTCCTGTGAAGCCTGTTTAATTAAACATCCTAAGGATTTACCTGAAGAGTATTTTTCTTCTTTGCTGGTTCATCTTCCTCTGAATCTGACTGAGAAAGAAAAACAGAACTTAGCACAACTTGAGACAGCCACCAAGCAACTTATGACTGTTTCAAATAGAAAATTAAAAGAATCACAATCACACAAGTTTATAATCTACAAAGACCCAAGCCACAAAGTGACAGTGCGATGCAGTCAAGTTCTCTCTGAAAGCCTCGCTGATACATCTGTATCAGGGCAAAAAGAGATAAAAACCCACCCTGGTTACTAGTATGAGAGAGAGAAACACAGTTCATAGTGAAGAGTAGGGCTATAGTATGTTTAGAGATAGCCGTATCTACTGTGGTTTGGACAGAGCTAGAAGTAATACTGTGCTCCGTTATTTAAAAAAAATAAAATAAAATGAAGCTTTGCAAACAAATGAGCATTACCTCTGTAAACCTCTTAAGCGCAACTTATCTACAACCAAAAAATAATCTCCAACTTGAGCTCGTTTATGCAACTTATGGAATGAAAAAGGATTAGGTAAGCCAAAATTCCAAATTTTCAAGCTGGCAAAAAAATACAACTCACACATATTTGGCCCCTGCCACAAACTAGCATTTAGAGCGCTGACAACTCAGCCATTTTTTTTTTTTTTAAATTACAGGAAAATAAACTTAAAGCAGGGCAAAGAACACAAACTGTGCCTTAAAAGGCCAGCACTCTCTTTTAAAATAATAGACAGCACTACATGAATAAAGGGGAAGAACAAAACTATACCACGTAAGGGTGTAAAAATTTACTGTCAGGATTAATAGGGAATTGTTCAAAATAACTTTGGAGTTGTTAAATATCCATTAAGATCCTGAGTATAAAGCCTGGTCATCTCTGGCATCGCAGAAGGCCCTTAACATCTTTATCGTTTTATAGCTTTGCAGAGCACTTTAAAGAGATTGCAGGAAACAAGGACTTCTGCCAGTTTACTATCTAAATTATAAAACACGATAAAGAAAAAGAACACACAAAAATAGAGGCAAGTCAAGAGTTGCAATAAAACCAGTATGCTACATTTAGTAGACAGGAGCTAAAAGCGGACTGTACAGGAGTATCAAGAAGGTATTTTACGGGAAAAAAAAGGGACGGAAGCAGGGATGTCTGTCACAGAGGCAAAGGGAATTCCAAGAATCCCAAACACCAAACCACTAGCTCTATTTTTAAGGTATTTCTCTCTTACCAACATTCACTCACTAGCTTGACACTGATGACCTGCAGTATTTCTGTTCAAAGCTATCGCTGGAGCATAAAGGGGGGGGGGAGCAAAGGAGGAGAAACAAATCTCCTTTCATTTGACCTTATCCCATGACAGGTTTCAGTGAAACTCGTGAGGAAGCTTAAGAGCCTTGACATCTGTTTTATTGTGAAGTGTCTGCTCCACAAGTGCTGTGAGAAAGCGAATAAGCAAGACACAGGTATGAGAGAATGGGATAAACCTAATCGGTTTGCCTGTAATGACAACCGAACAAGGTCCCGTTGCCTGGCGAACGTGGATCACCACCAGAATCAGCAGAAAGGTTTGAAATGACACAGGAAATTGGAGATGGGCAGCTGAGAGGGCCCTAGGGCCTCCTTAACACGAAGTCATTCTGTGCACTTCCTCTTGTTGCCCAGCCTACTAAAAACAAGATAGCTTTGCTGGAAGGTTTCATCCTAATGGACTGGGATCTGTGCTTTGCAACGAAGACTAAATTGTTCTTCTGTCTGTCAACAAAGCTAGCAATGAGCACGTCCTGCTGTTTAGCAGCCAGATATATTTAGCTGCACCTCCTTCAGGTTTTTGGGAGCCTTGGCAGAAGGCACTTTGGCTCTGGAATTCGCTAAACTGGGCTAAGATATTGACAAGCAACAGAGCGCAGTTACAGAGATGACCAGAACGCGTGCTCCATTCACACTCTTT